ACATTTTTATTCATGGCTTCCGTCTTGGGTGAATATCAGCTTGTTTCCCTTTTCACTGCATTTCCTGACTAAAACAACTGTTAATAACTATAAAAACAGTTGCAGAAAATTATTCCTTTGTTGGTTAGTTAACCTCATATTTTAAGAGTTGAAAAATTAATTAAGGATAAATCCTGCAAACTAAAAAAGTTATTAAAACTATTAAAGTTTCCAAGTGCTGCTTACTTAAACCAATCATCGGTCTTTATAAAATTTCTACGGCTTGGTGTTTTTTTTATATTCTATTTAAAAAAAAAATTAAATTATCTCAAAATGTTTTATAACTTTTACAAATATATGATACGAAATAGTAAACTTGTATTAAGTCCATGAGGTACGAAATGGTAGATGCATTTGAACCATAGGGTACGAAAAGGTTTTTATCGTGGGTACGAAATGGTAAATGTTGGGTACGAAATTGCAATTTTGGGTACGAAATGGCAGAGGTACGAAATGACTTGCTACCCCTGAGATCACCCACAGTTTTTGGTGGGGTTCATGATTCTCAGTCATTATGTTTTGTGTGCTGTTGTTTGTCTTTTAGCCGTTTTGTGTGGTTTTTTTTTTGCCATAGCCTTGTCAGTTTGATTTCTAATTATGAGTTTGAATGTCCCTTTGGTATCTTTCGCCTATCTTTTTTTCAATAAGAAGTTTTGGAAAAAATAACGGATATTTCAAGGAATTCTCATTTTGGTATCGTTATATATCCGGACGGTGGTCAATAATATCATATGATTGTGTATATATATATGTAATAAATCATTTGTGTACCTGTGTATAGTATGATTCGTTTTCCAAATATGTGATACAAAATCTGTAAACAGATCTTAAAAAAGAGGCGGATGATTCAAAATTCATAAGTCAAGGAAAATTTACAAAAAGATGACAGTTCACAAAATACAAACATTGAACAACACTAACCACAGAAAAAAAGGGGTGAACTCATATGCTCCGGAAGGGTATAAGTAGTACTTGCTCCACATGTAGCACTGTCGTATTACTCATGTAGGTTATTACTACGGTGATAAGTCTCATTTGATGACGTCACAATAAAGCCAAAGACGACGGGATAACACATTAAATATAGATCAAATTCAGAAAAATTACTGGAATGTTACAGAAAAAATAAAGCAAAAGCAAAGATTGGTATTTGATATTTAAATGCTTTGAGAAGAGGTATCACTCAAAGAAATTTTCCATCAAATTCCTCGTAATTAGGATCAAGGTTTGTTTCCCTTATTTCAAGCTAATCCTGGTAATATATTTTTCTTTGTCGTGCTAAATCGTACCCAGTTATATACACTGCAAAATTACAGTCACCAATATAAGAGTTAAGGATAGCATGATTTCAAATCGACAAGTTTAGTACCTTGAGCTTACATTACCTTTTTTCAGATTTAGAAATTATTAAGAAACTAAGGTTTCGACACCCTCAGGCAAAGCTGACCTTAGATTAATTTAGCTATTATTGTTGGTGTTTTTTTTTGTCATATAGCTCTTCAACTGTTTCGGTTCTTATACATCTTTGGTTTTAAAACATTCGGCTTTGAGCGTTCCTGATGAAGGTAAAATATCCAGAAAAGCGCTTCGGAGGCACGGAATTTATTAAGTGTTGTTTCCATTTTTCCAGTAACTGCTCATAATTGTTTTGTTTGCACTTGTGCGTTTTTCTATCTGTTATACAATTATAAACAATACAGTACTGTTTTTTTTTTCAAATGTTCTTTTATGTACTTTATGTTATTTCATTGATACCGATTAAAAAGCTGAGGGGTTAATTGAAGTCTGCAAAACAAATTTCCAATCCGGCTAAATGTTCATGTCCATAACCCATGATAAAAATCTCGTCAGCTGTTCTTTCTTTTCTAGTCCTTTTGAGAATACGGTGTTGATGTAAGATATGTTATAGTCTATTTAATTTATGCAGTCCTATTTTTTGCAAGAGGCGACTTAGAACTATATATGTTATATAGACAATACATATCAATTTACGTTGAAGATACGTCACAATGAATTGTTTCTTCAAATTTGTGATATTTTAACAAAAAATAATGTAGTATCGAAATTTTTATTCCCGGCTTTTATTGAAAATTTATCTTGACACCCGGAATCAATTTGGAATGGCATTTTATATCATCATTTTCATATCATGTTTTTTAAATACTAACTAAAAAGGATGTTTCTCGCAATTAGACTATATTTTCACCGTATTATCCCCCAGTTTTCACAAAAAACGAAAGGGGTCTCCTTTTTGTATATGTAAACAGTTTGCATAGAATTTTTGAAATTGGTTGAGGCAATCTTGTGTATTCATACGACAAATATAAATACAAATACGTGCTGAAGGAAAAATAAATGAAAAGACATATAACGTGATTACTATGGGGAATCGGTGACTTGTCGGTTCTGCTTTTACAATAACAAACAATAGCCTGTCAAAGAACTGAATCTGCTGATATGATTTCTATCTGTCATACATTCTCACACTGGTGGCTGTATTTTAAACATTAACTTCATGATGAGTAAAGAAAACCATAACCTACACAGAAAAACAAATAGGACTTGTTCGTCTTGCTCAAAAATGTACATTTTGGGAATGCGTGTGGTGATGAGTTTTATGTAGATGAAAAGCGCGACTGTTGTATTGAAATATGATCTTGGATATTCAGTGGCGTAGCAAGGCTATTTTTAAGTGTACGCCCAAACCTCAGCAAGGGGTTTGACGGCCCCAAGCGGCCCCAGGACAGAGGACCTCCGGTTAGGGGCGTAACCCCCGGAAGCTCACGCGTTATCTTGAAAAAGATAATATTTCTGTCATTCAAAATTCATCAATAGCAACATACTTGGTCGGTTGAGAACAAAATTCACTACATGGATATGATTTCAGCATCCCATTACTATGTAGCAACATTCCAGTAGAACCTGCATATGAGTATATATCTCCCAGTTGATACGATATTTTAGAACTTGCATTTCCCATCATGATTTCCTTGAATGAGGTTGCTACTTACAAGGAAGCTATTAAACCAAGAGTTCTAAGTGGTGAAGTTGGTGAAGTTGAAAGCATCCCTTTAAAAATTTTAAAATCGCTATCACGAGTTGGTTGACTGTTTCACAGATGACGATGGACATGTTCCATTGTTGTTACCACAATTCCGCCCTCTTTTCCTCGAATTTGACCTACCGAATTAGACTTATCACCTAGTTTTTACTTACATAAACAACGAGACGGGTGCCACATGTAAAACAGGATATGCTTACTCTTCTGGAGAACCTGAGTTCACCCCAGGTTTTAGGTGGGGTTCGTATTGCCTAGACTTCAGTTTTCTATGTTGTCTTTTATGTACTGTTTGTCTTTTCGACGTTTGTCGTCTTTTAAAATTGCATTGTCAGTTGTTTTTCAACTGCATGATGAGTTTGAATATACCTTTGGTATCTTTAGCCTTCCTTTTTAAATTTAATTTGTTTTTTTTCCATGTTGATTTGGAATCTAATTGTCCTTTGTTTTAGAGAAAAATGTCCAAACCAGTTACTTAAGAATATGTTTAAAAGGAGATGTTGGGTTAACCAATCAATCGCCAAAAAATGAAAACTTTATTAAAATAGTAAAAAAAAAAAAAAGTTCTATATTTAATTACTTGAACTTTACATAATTTTCACACCTTTTTACGGGAAAATTTCGAAATAATTTTTATAGATGGTAAGGTGCAACATAAAAATGCAAGCCACACACATTGTATCCCAGCAGATATTAAATTGCTTTCAACAAAAGTAACCTGAGTAGAATATTCACCGTAGATTCAAAGCTTGACAGAAAATGAACAAAATAATTTGATACCATTTGATTAAAAAGTAAATTTCGTCACTTTTATGGTTTCAATTACAAGTCGTCGAAGAAAGCATTACAATTGCTCGTGGGCTTCAAACAGTTCCTATAATTTATTTGGATCAAACTATTTTCCCTCCAAAATTCGTGTGAACGGCCGGGCGTTTTGACGTAAACGTAGCTACGCGCCTGATATTTCGTGAGCTTTAAACAAGAATCGCGGACAAAACACATTTCTAGTGGACAATTTGACATTGTATGCATTTTCTAAGAACTCTCGTATTCCCCATTTTGCGTTCATGATAAATAATTGAATGCAACTTATCAGCTGAAATTTAATTCTCTTTACAGCCTCGATGGACGCCATTATTTGAACAGGAACTACTTAATGCAGTTATCGAGTCACACCTTTTCTAGTATGGTGCTTACGTTTTGTTGTATTTTTTTTATGTCTGCATTGTTCTTTTTATCGTTTACTATTGTCTTTCCTTTGTTTTGGAAAAGTATAGTCTCACACTCGGTCTTGTATCGGCGTTGGAGATTTTACATGTTCTGATTTATTACCGGGATTTTAAATCAGTTCTTCTGAAATGGGGACTGACATATAATATATTTTGTGACTATGTGAGTAGCTCCGCACTAGGTTTACAAGGAACATCATGCTTTACATTGATTTAATAAAGTTTGCAGATATTTCACGTCGACAAGTGATAGAAAATCTATTTTGTCTCTGTCCTTTATGATTGAATCGTCGACATTCATGATTACAGGTTCATTAAATCAAAGCACATGATAGCAAAGAAGTACAAAATATGTTTTTTTTCCTATTATAATTTATAAGATGGAGGTAGAATACCGTTTTGATCTGCTTCATAGGAATTTTTCAAACAATGGCGTTGGATGGACAGAGTATATATGTTATAATTCTTCCAAACCAATTCCTTGTTTAGTCTTTTAGAAGAGAATGGGAAAATATTATAGTGCTGTGGTCGCCATAAAGCAAAATTTTGCAGTTGGAATTAATATTTATAGACATGTCGTTGACGTAATATGGAAAAAGCAAAGGTCCTAAAATGCTTCACTGAGGTACATCAGTGAGAACAAACAAACTGAATATATGATATGAAGGCTCTCCTTTAAAACCAGATATTTTAATTTAAAATATTGAACAAAAGATATTCTGTCACAGTGGTCAACATATACCAAATTTAGCAATGGTCAGCTCTCTGTGTGTGCATCGTTGTTTCTCGAACTCGCATCTAAAAAATTAATACAATAAATAAAATAAGATTCAAGTTTCTCTGCAATACCATCCTATACCAGTCGATATCTTATTTTTAACTTCAATTTCCGAAATATCATATGATGTTCTTTTACACCGTTTTAAAATACAGATCCGTGTCCAAGTTACGTTAGAAGGATCTGAAAACGACCCGTTCTACTTTCTGTTCGAAAAGATCTTTCGGGATTTTTTGGTTTAATAGAATTCATCGACAACTTAAAACATTTGAAGGTTGAATTTTCATTGGCTGATGTAATAATTACCGGAATAGAAAGAAAAACGGAATTTTGTCAGATCCTAGTAAGCGTAGCTTGGACACATGATATGTATTTTAATCAGACTGATATTCGCCTAGGTGGTTTCGTAGGAGCGTGCTCGCCTCGATAGCGAGAAGTCTAAGGTTCGATAACTGAAAGCGTCAAAAAAAAAAAAAAAAAAAAACATGAAATACTATCTAGGAATAAGATAGGACTGATCAATTCGGAGTAAGAATATTGTGTGCGACAAGACAGACATGTCTTCCTGTTACCTAGTGAAATAGCACGTACCAAATCCAATTCTAAAAAAATTTCGGGGCCCTTTATAGCTTGCTGTTCGGTGTGAGCCAAGGCTCCGTGTTGAAGGCCTTACTTTGACTTATAATTGTTTACTTTTTACACATTGTGACTTAGATGGAGAGTTGTCTCATTGGCACTCGTACCACATCTTGAAGATGAAAAAAGAAACGACAGTTTGCAAAATATTACACAGAATATCAAATACTGATCATCACGGATCGACCTCACTGAGGTGCTTCTGGCCGATAATCAGTTTCCATTTTGTTGCTGACGATAAGCTTAGCGGCGATGATCAGTCGCATTCAGCGATGAAATATAGAAATGATGATTTGATTGTGGCTTAGTTTAAACAATATTTGATTTCATCAAAAAGTTAAATAAAATAGAATACTGAAGGGATTCGGAAACAAGAAGTACTTACAGACCAATTCAAAATCCCTATCTATTCAACCTTTATCAATTTTCACAGCTTTCTAAACATAACTACATAGAAACCAGGATGTGATTGTGGCTTAGTTTAAACAATATTTTATTTCATTAAAAGTGCACAAATTACAATTAAAAAATAGATTACTGAAGAGGGATTCGGAAACAAGAAGAACTTACAGGTGTCAGACCACCAATTCAAAATCTTTATCTATTCAACCAAATTTAGCAATTTTCACAGCTTTCTAAATATTCTACCTTTAGTTTAACTACATAGAAACCAGAAATATCCTGAATTGTACATGTCTCACCTTTTTACATGCCAATTTTCAACTAATGTTTAAAGTATTGTGATAAAATACTACCGTTCGGAGGACAAGTACTACTAAAAATAACCCCTGGTTTTCTGGAAATCTTAAATAAGTATACTATGGATCGCATTAATCCTTAATATTTAATGCAAACTCATGGACAAGTAGTAAATTTTGGCTCTTCCTCTTTCAAAAAAAGTTTCATTTCTGAAAATGTGTTTGTTAGTTAAATTAAACAATGACATCAAAAGCACTATTTTTTGTCAGGGAAGGGCTACTTTTACATACGTTGTAAATTGAAGTAGGTGAATTGGTGGTCTAACACCTAAATAACCCCATCTTCCTTCATTGTTGCTTGAACAAATGGATCATACTCATGGTTTTCTGCGACGCAAATGTGTCATTGCGATCAACCAAATCCTGATGATGTCCGTAAATTTTGCGATCAGAAGACATTAACTTTAAAATTTCCATTTAACACCCTTGGTTCAATATAATCCTTGTGAAAGCAAGCAAACGGTTATTAAGAAAGGAAATACGAAAGATCTTCAAAAATAGCTTCAAAGGATAGCTGCATACACGACGACAGACTATCTAAATTGCGTCTAATCATTGGAAATTGAAATAAAAAATACCACGTATACCTTGATAAATATGATTTAGAAATTTATAGTAAGGGTAAAGACTGGAGTAAATTTTAGACAAAATTGATTATTTCAATAAGTTAGTAACTTGCCACAATATGTGTTAAGATATATACTACATTAAAATAAATACTCAGTCTTTTCAATGATATAAGCTATACAATGTTCTTATCTCACCACATCTATTGAAACAAGCGTTTCATTTCATGGAAGTGGAATATTATATATGTTGTTTTACTGGTGGTTTTGATCTAACCTGCGTTTTCTTATATTGATTTTAATATAAAAACTTTAAAACACAAAACGCAAACCCCATATAACACTTTCAAATCTAAAATAATCTAAAAAAAAAATATCATATTAATCTAATAGACTTCTTTAAACTTACGAATTGATGTAGGTTGCGCCATCGGAACCACAGATTGTTTCAAGGTCATTTTCGCATGGAATGTGACTCAGTTGTAAACAAAAGAAATCAAATACAGCATCAGGGCCTGAGATGATTGGACCGGTACCAACCTGTCCACCACCAGAACTTCCGGTAGGGGGAACGGTTGTCGATGAGCATGCGCCAATGTAAGCAACATGGATGTTTTTGTCAGCACAGTGGGCCTTAGAGTAGTCGCATCTAAATCATGAAATAATAATATAAAGCTCAAGACAAAGTACAAACACACCACGGCCGTAAAGTAAACCACTAATAAACTCACAACAGTAAAAATAATTCACACAAAACTATGATTGGATCGAGTCATCTTACTTATGCCTTAATATATAATGAGGCCAACTTCCCGGTTACCATTAAAGTATGAAAAAAATGCTGTTTCTTTGAAGTATTACCCATGCATACATCTTTTATTCGTACTTAGAACGAATCTTTATGTAATATGATTATTATTGGCTTTGATTTGTTTTACGAAGATTAATTTAGCTTCAGCCTTTTTAGATCGTGGATGTCGTTTTTATACTCTGTGATCCGTAGTTCGATACGTTCGTATAAACCTCGTCAGAAGCATTCCAGTTCAATTTGATTCATTCGTATTTGTGTTTCATGTGAAAAATTTTCAATTATTAAGACAGGAATATCGATCAAAGGTGAACGAATATATGTTATTTAAAACTGATACATATATGTACATACCGATTTCTGTAAGTTACTCCGTTTGTTCCACATTCAGGATGGTCGCCATAAGTGAAACAGTCTTGTTTCTGTACAGAACGACACCCCCAGCTAGACAAGATACTACCCCAGTTTTGTCCATTACAGACTGAAAAGAGAAATTTTCAATACAATGTTTTTCATCTAAAGTATGACATGCAAATATTAAATGATATCTAAACGCGCTAAACCAGAACCTTGGATCACCAAAACAGAGTTATATCATGGTTGACCAATTGATTGTTTGTGTTTAACGCCACTTTCAGCACAAACAGTTATTTCCTGGCGGCCATGCAAAATGTTTTGGTGGAGAAAGCAGGAGGAACTACGGCCTTCGACAGGAATTCTGGCAATTTCAGGTCAATTAGTAATGGAGTCGAACGCAAATGCCACGTGCGGAGTTCAAACTTCCAACCTTAGTGTTGACAGGTTAGTGAAACTGTAGACGAACTGCTAAGATCATTCGGATTATTCGGCTACCAAGCCCCCTCCCATAAGAAACAAAAAATGTATTCACGTTAAGAATTTTCTCCTTTCAAAATAAAACCTTTGATCTTGAGCAACTACTATGCAAAAAAAAACAAAAAACAACACATTATTGATAAGTTCATTGGTTAAGGTTCTATTTAATAATACTATATTTAAAAGTAAGAAAGTGATTATTCTAAAACATTCGAAACGCAAAGAGTTTTACAATAATGGGTTGGTCCAACTTCTATTAATTTTACTTTAACAAAATGCAGTGTTTATGGAAAGCCTTATTTACGGGTTACCGATACACAAAAAATTATAATGGATAAAAAAAAAACACTTTAAAAAATGTTTCTTAGTCAGGGAGATGACTCTGATTATTTAGTTTTTTGAAGGAATGTAGCGTATACTTTATATCGGTATTGTATTTATGATCGAGGAAACGATACTAGGACCCTCTTTTTTCTTTTTCTTTTTAGAAAACATTTAGAGTGCTATGATCTGCTATCTCCTTATATTTTATTTCAAAATTTTATCATTTATTTAACATGATATAATGAATTTCTTTGTAATTCCCCTTATACGGAAAGATTAATAATGAAAGGAAAAGTTAGAACGGTTTGTGTGAAACATTAAGGTTTCAAGGCAACCTCAATAAGACAAACATGAATAGTTTGGAGATGATGCAACATATTTAATTCTTTCTATTTGATTTATTCACAAACTTTTACGGACTAGAAGCGGCTTATAGCTTGCCATACTGTAAAGCTACATGTCCATTGTTGAACTGCCTAGTAGTTGTCTGTTGGTTACTGCTTTAGTTGAAGCGATGTCTCATTGAAGTATATCCCAGATCTCTTTATAGTCAACATGTTTTCGTCCCTCCTTTTATTCAACGTGTTCTCATTCCTCCTTTGATTGAACATGTTCTCGTCACTCTTTTTATTAAACATAATCTCGTCCTGATATGCATGGTTTATCTGTCACTTATCCATCCATTCATCCCTATATTCATAATTAATGCATATTTACATGAAAAACTTTAAATAACACTTAATGTAAAGGACATACGATGATTTTGCTATCAATAGCATAAAAATTGAAACAATAATAAGGAAACCATATTTTCAATCAACATGTTAACATTTAGTGTAGGCAATCTTCGTTGTTTTCCTAATTCAAAAAGAATCTTACCAGAGAAAATACACACACAACACACTGCTAGAGCTAGTTTCATTGTGACTACCTTGTAATGAAATTTCTTTGTGAATGAACATGAAATTCCACTTGTCTTATCTACTATTTAAGAACGTGACTATTTAAGCGTCAGAAGGTCAAAAGTATGATTAACCAAAGTAAGTTCGTTCTAAATTAGTTCCCGCATTTTACCTAGATTTTATTTACAAACACTATCTAGATAGAGAAGAAAATTTATAACAGACAAATTTTTCAAATTGTATAATAAAGCTGAATCAATTTTTATGAAAAATATTTTATTTCACAAACGCTTAATACGAGTTAGTTATTATACTTACCTTAGATTCAACAACCCGATGACAATCCTTATCTTACACATGTTACATAAAGTGATACGTATATAATTACAATACAGGACACATATCCTTATCGTTACCAGTACACTTGTACTTCCATATTTCGTGATTAACTCAGTTAAAGATCTGATAGTAAGAATACGTATTGATATGTTCGTTAATTGTTGGTCATTTAATCTCAGAGCAATCGGTAATATTAGACGTGTTAGAAAAGTCGATACGACTGCTGGCGCTCGTGTTGGATGGAAGATGACATATACAATATGATGTGGAGACCATCTCAAAAAGTACAAATACTCCATCATTTGTGTTACTTATATGGGCTTGTTATATCAGTCTTGTAAATAATTTATCTTGTTTTAACGTTTTGTGAACAAATGGTAAAATGGTGTAGTGGTATAACTACGGAAACCATAAAGGGACACATACAAAAATTTAGTAATCCGTGATCTCGGATTGACAAATCCGTGATTTCAGATTGCTAACCGTAATCTCGGATTGATAATTCGTGATCTCGAATTGCTAATCTGTGATTTCGGATTGACAATCCGTTATCTCGGATTGCTAATCCTGAACTGAATAACCATGACAATTCAATCATACTTTTTTGATAGAAAATAAAACTCGCATTTACTGTAAGCTAGCTCAAATTTATTAACAACTTATAAATTATTTTAAGGTCCATTTATACACACGGAAGCCGTTGATATTGACTTTGAGCTAGCTTTCATTAATTGCATTCTAATATTGGTACTTTGTGTCTTTTGTCTTTATGTTAGTTGTTTTTTTATATTTTTTTTGTGCCAATATAATGAGTCAAGCCATTTCCAACTGATTTTTACAGTTTGTTCTTATGTTGTGCTGTTACAACTTACACCACTATCCAAGATTAAAAGGAGGGTTGAGCTCTCACAAACATGTTTAACCCCGAAATATTCTGTATGAACCTGTCACACTCCAGGAGCCTTTTATTCAGTGATTGTCGTTAGTTTTGAATGCGCACACTGGTATTAAACACAGCAAATAAAAAGAAAAAAAAAAATAAGTAAACAGATGTCGAAAAACAAATAGAAACACAAGCCCAACAATTCAATCTTTTGCCTAGTAATGGGACTAATTTGGAGTTAGATTTCCCTCCAAATTATGTAATCTTCGCTGATAAAATTTATGCAAACCATGCATCAATTGTTACATCATATAGAAGACATCAATTATGACAGAAAAGGTCGAAGAAAAAAAGAAAATGTAAAAAATTAAATAAAAGAATGTCTGAGTGTCGTGTGTATGTTGAATACGCAATAAGACGTTTAAAGACATTCAGGGTCGTTGGAACTTTATGGAGACATCTAAGAAACGAACTGAATCGAATAGTTGAACAGTGTGCTGGTCGAGAAACAAACTGAGTTATTTTCGTATTAAATAAATGCTCCCAATCATACAATGCTTATGATATTAGGCAAGAAACCAAAAAATCCCAAATTTGCATTCTGAACAAAGCATCGTTTTAAAATAAAGCATCGAGCATCCATCTTGTGTAAAAGGGGGACTTGTGTTTCCAAAATAAATTGTTTTATTCTGTTTTTTTTAAATCTTTCCGGACCAGAGTAAAACACTAGTTTGTTTCCTCTGGGAGTTAAGGCGGGACAAAAATCTTGTTCCTTTAGTTGTTTGTAAAAAATTGTTGATTCTGAAAGTAAAATAAAAACATTTTTTTTAAAATTCAAAATTTCGGTCTTTAAAAATGCTCGATTGATCATGTCTTGCATACTATAAATAACGTATTTCAGCGGTATCAAACACGCCCATACAGGTAATAAAAAACGATAGAGTATTTATACTGTTGGAGATCACCCCACATCATATTGTATTCATCTTCCATCCAACACGAGCGCCAACATCAGTATCGACTTTTCTAATACGTCTAATTAAGCGATTATTTACTAGTAAAATGTAATTCTTAGTTAAATGACTTTGTTTTGAACCGAATATACCGATGTTATAAACACTACGGGTGTTAAAGTCAATCGTTCAAAGTAAGTTTGCTATGATAAATACTCCCACAACCTCCAACCCCCAAATCCCCAAGCGATCTATGAAGGGAGGGAACTTTCCATCATGTGCGCGATTTTTTTATGATGATGTCACGATTCGTACGTAATAAGATGGAGGCTACATCAGGTGATAAAGGAATGAAAATTAGTGTAAAGGTTATTTCAGCAACTGAATTTTTTTACTGCGATGTATAACCATACTTGCTTTTTCCAGCACATATTTTTCAATTGTTTCTGTACATGGTCCTGCTGTCATGGATGTATTAATGCCTCAGTTTCTTGGTGAGTCCACTCGATTCGGACGACATTTATGCAATCTTTTCTCTTATAACAGAACTGAGCTACATTTTGAGATTTGAATAAATAACTATATATATTATTTTTATAATATTATTGTTATCATTTGTATTCAATGCATATTTCTTCCTTAAATATTCGTAATACCATTTACGTTTTTTTTAATATGTAGTTTTATACATTACCCTTAATTCACACAAGGCCTACATTGACTACCGACTGCATGTAATCAAAACCTGATTTAAACAACATGTAAACATTGATTGTTATCAATGGGAAGGTAGTAGAGATTAGTTTACGTGTTGAGAATACTAACATTGAACACCGAGTTTAGGTCAATGTGAACACGGACTTAAATCTATGACTTGAATTTAAAAAAAAAATCTTAAGTCCTAAATGGGAGTTTTAAATGCAAACCATGAGCGCAGAATGGCAGAGTAAGTCTTCAGAGAAAAATAAAACTGAAGATTGCGGTCTTGGACATTGCTAAATTATAGACTGATGACGATTTGTAAGTGAACTTATACCTGAAGTCATGAGAGGTTGCGGCTGCATTTGAACTTTTGTAGTATTGGCTTTATTATTATTGTGTTGCTTAATAAACATTGCATTTCACTAAATTGTTTACTATAGTTACTGTAATGATGTGTTAATTACAGCTAAAAGTCCTGAAAGTTACCCAAATTACTCCCCTTTATTCAAGAAATTATTCCTGTCTTTCCCGAATCCATAGAAGAGCCTTCTTTCATGACATGATATTTTATTTTTGCACTTTCGGAATTTTAGGATTTAAATTTTTAAAACGTCGGGTTATAAATTTGCTTATCCCTTTGAAACGACCAATATCAGTATCACTAACAGACTAGATACATTTTGTCCGTCTGTCTGTTACACCTTCATCATTGTTGGTTCTTCAATCCTAGACTGGTTTACACATGGAATTTTTTACTCTGAAACTAACTGGATTGTCAGATTGATATTGGTACTTCGTGTTTGGTTAACAGACATAGAAATATGAGATTTACCTTTCAATTTGATACTTTGGGTTTAAAACTAATGCGCCGTTTCAGAATATAATGCATTCTGGGTAATATTTCCAAAAGCGTACACCAAAACGTTATGATTGGTTTAATACGTAAAAAACTATGGACATTCTACCAATGAAGTGACGTTATTTTCATTTTGATGTACGAACAATGATATTACCCATAGTCTTTTAGATTCTGAAAAAAGGGAATTAGACAGATAGTTTACTTTCACTTGTACAAATACATGAAGTTGTGATGTCACTGCTGATTTCGTCATAAAGTGCTATCATATGAATAGTTTTGTTACATAAACAAGTCTCGTCGTGCCCTCTGATTGTATTTAACTGTACTTAATAATCACATGTTCGTATTAATAGTCTGGTACTTTGAAAGTCTAACTACTGTCAAGTTCAAAGGTTAACACTTGGGTTTATAGAGTCACTCTATTTTGTAATCCAGGAAGCCGTATTTATCAAAAAGCATACTTAGCTTTTATAGCTTACTATGCGGTATGGGGTAAGTTCATTGTTGAAGGCTGTACGGTGGCTCATAGTTGCTAACTTCTAGCCAATTGGTCTCTGGGGAGAGTTTTCTCATTGGCAATTATATCACATCTTCTTATTTTTATATTAGGGTGTTGCATTTTTTCTACGTAATATACAGTGACATCAGTTTCGTGACAAAAGAGTCATCGCTTTTATCATTTCTTCATCTGGACAGCTAATAGATGATTTTAATGAATCGATCAACTGAATTTGTTCTCGGCAATATTCATTATACATTAGTGACTTTAAAATCTCTACGCGTCGCCAGGTAATATGTAAACTAAATGTGCGACAGTAAAACTACCGATGGACGTCCGCAAAGCTTCAAATACAATACAGTTATCTCTAAATTTTGATCACTTTAATTTACTTGTAGAGCTTACTTTGCTGAACATTTTTGCTGTTTAAAGTTTATCTCCATCTATTATAATATTCAGGATAATAACCAAAAACTGCAAAATTTCCTAAAAAATACCGATTCAGGGGCAACAACCCAACAACGGTAGATCTTGACCTAATGAACATTTTAACCCCATGTCAGATTTGCTTTAAATGCTTTAGTTTCAGAGATATAAGCCAAACTGCATTTTACCCCCACGTTCTATTTTTAGCTATGACAGACATCTTGGTTGATGGGCGGGATCATCGGATACATTTTTTAAACAAGATACCCTAATGATGATTTAGGCCAAGTTTGGTTTAATTTGGCCCAGTAGTTTCAGAGGAGAAGATTTTTGTAACATATTACAAAAATTTACGAAAAATTGTGAAAAATTGACTTTAAATAGAGAATATTATATGGCTTTTTCAATATCACATCCGTATCAACCCAAGACACCAATATAATCCCATGAGCTCTGCTCGAGGGATTATATTGGTTGAGGGTTGGTACGGTGTGTGATATTGAAAAAGCCGTATCATATAACGTCACGGTACCCAGATTACACCTATTTAGCAAAAGTTGCAGCGGAAATCTTTCTTAGAGACTAAACAATTTGTATTTTTATGATTTGACATTATGCACGTCTTTCAACAAAGGTAAATATATTTAAATATACACAAAACGTTCACAGTATACATCAACCGATGAAGTATTTACCGGTAAAGGAAAATGTACGGAAACGTCGCCATGCGACCTCCACAAAAAGGTCATGTTTTAAAAATGCGAAAATAAAATATGTTACAAGCCTCCATTTCTTAAAAGATGAATAATAAGCATAGACTAATCTCAAATTGTTCTAAATATTTGAAGAAATAAAACAAATTATCTGTAATTCGATTTTTGAGGATGTGAATTTAAGCATGGATGCAATTTGGGTACTCCTTATTACAGAATCATGGATCGTTTGGAGGTCGGTTCAAACCCATTTTTTATGATTCTGTATGGATTCAAAATTAAATTGGTGGAACCATATATAGTGAATAATGATACATCTACAAAATAAACACAGAACGGAAACTTTTGTTTGGATCATAAATAAACATAGGTGTAAAAACTTTCAAAATAGGTGCAATTTGGGTACCCTCACGTTACACTTTATTATATCTCAAGTAGATGGTTTTTTTTCATATGACGTGCCGTCATACA